TTTTTTTTTTAGCTCCTAGCGTGGTGCGTGGCACTACCACTGCAGAAAGCCCGGTAGTTCCCTTCGAATAGAATCCGCTCCTGTCCAATCCCGACTTCAAATTCAGCAAATTATGTCGTCCTGTGAAAACTAGGTCACTCTGCCGAAGTCGCCAGCCGTGAATCTGTTGAAGTACTGCTAGGTCGGTGTTGTTAGAAAGCGCAAAATAGGTAGGCGATACTCGCATATAAAACCACCTTGACGGGGCGGAGGTAGGGTGGTCAGAGGGAACGAATCTCCTAGTGGACCTGGTGGGTGAGGACGCCAAATATCTCAGTGTTGGTAAACACCTTGAGTATTTGGATACGCTCGCCAGGCCGGAGCCCAGAAACCACCTGATAGTATTCATGAAGGTCTTCAGGGCCCTCGTTCGGCGGTGTAAAGAGACGGTATTCGATCTGGTTGAGTTGGTTCACCCGTGCAAGCTGGAGCCATTGGTGGGCCGGTTGCTCCCTCTCGGAGAAAGCGCGAGCTGCTGCGAGAATCTCAGGACGTTTATCGGCCATACCAAGCCTTTCCCATGGAGGATATTCGACGGTGTTGGTTTGGAAGCCAAGGGACTGAGCCATCTGATTGAGCTCGTCTCGAGCGAGGTTGTGATCACGCTCGTGGCCGAAATATTCCCTGAGGGCAAGTCTGACAGCATTGCGTGGTGGCTGAGGAATGGGCTGGATGCGATAGGCAATGGCAAGAGTCGCATTGTATGTATTGGGAGTTGGCCAGGTGAGAACAATACGTCCGTTGGGAGCGAGGAGGTGATCGCGAACGATCCTGAGTAATGTACGTCGGCGGTCGGGGGCGAGGACCTTGATGACATCGCAGATGATGACGACGCTGAACCGGGTGGGAATGGGTTGAGGGATATCAGTCGCCAGCTCTTGAGATGGTAGCCCAAAGGAAAAGTTGGGTGGTAGGGTGGAGACCTTGGTGGTGGATTGGGCACTCTCGATACCGTCCCGGAGCCCACTTAGGTCGGTGATGTCGGCTCGGGCAAAGGCGACGTTACGGAGACGTTGTGTAGCCGTAGCTTTGATAGCCTGGTAGTAACATTCCTTGCTGATGTCAATCCTAATGACATAGCGGCAGGAGGGCGCAGCAAGTAGGGCGGCGGTACCGATCCCGCAGCCGAGATCGAGGACGGTGTCAGTAGGTTGGAGGTTGGCCATTTCGAGAAAGTGTGGGAGGAAGAGACGCTGGAGAGCATGGAGGAAGTCGTAGCCTTCTCTGACGCACTTGTCGTACTCTTCCGCTGCCTCAGCCGCCGTCAGATATTGTGCTTCTGGTGGTAGGTCAGGAGTAGGAGGAGGAGCCATGGTTGCGTGATCGAGCGAGAGGCTACCGGTGAAGGACGAAGATGATGTTGAAGGTCTCGAGGAGGAAAAGGTGAAGGAGTAAGAAAGGATGGAAGAATGGGAGAGAGGGCCTTTGAATGGTTAAGAAGGTAAGGTTGGAGAGTGGCCAAAAGAGCTTTGAATAGTAGAGAAGTGAAGGTAGGAAGGCGAGAGAGTGAAAGCGGAGGCGACTGTAAGAGAAAAGATTATAGAGGTAATAGTGAGGTAAGGTAGATCACTCAGGCGTTGAGAGAGGCTAGACTGGAGGAAACCTATGGTAGGGAGGTGAATATCCTTCGTAAAGGGTGAGGGAATAGCCTTGCTCACGTATATGGTCCCTTTGCCGCCAGATTAGTCTTCAAGCGATCGTAGGCTTGCGCCGTCGTGTGCTGTAGAGTCTTGCTTCAACCAGCGCTAGCCGCCGGATCTCTCTTTGATCGATCGCCAGCGCACCGTCCCCTGCCGCAAACCCTCCCTCGAACAGCCCTGGCCGCCGGAGGTTCGCCTTCGCGGTCTCCTGCACTCGAAATCGTCGAGGGTTCTCTGTGCTGTATCCGCGAGCAGAAAAGTGTTAACGTTAGTGGAGTGAACCGGGTATGTATCAGTAGGCTTTTGCTGGCCCAGAAGTACCAGTGAGCCTCCGGCGGATCGGATCAGGACACCTTCACGCAAAGCCCACTCCTTTAACTCCGCGTCCTCGGGTCCTTGTGCTTGGAGTTGACGGCTCTGGTAGCGAGGCTGGTGCGGCGCGCGGATGACCCAGTATTCGGTCCCCTGGAACGCTTGATCACAGTGGACGCAGGGAACCTGTTCGAGTGGCTCCCTCTTGTCGATTTGACTGCGGATGCACACCTCCTCGACCCAGCCATCTCCTCTCGTCTGGTTGGGGCCCATCGATTTGGCCTCGCGCTGATTGAGGTGCCGCACGAAGCGATCTCTGCGACTGAATTCACGAGAACAGCGACCAACATCGCACCGATAAACGAAGAGTTTGAAGTGAGTTGACTATATGTGACGTCTCCAATCGTTGATCGAGCCGAAGCAGCTACGGCACCCGTAGGGTTCAAACAAACTGGTCAACTGGCCTTGGTTGTCCCCTGCGTGCGCCGTTGACGCCTGATAGCCCGGCGACATCGTTCGTCGGAGCGATTGTCTCCATTGAAAGAGTAAGTGGCGTACACGTCATCCAAATCAAACGTATTCCCCCTCCTGGCAAGCCGGGGCTGTCTTCATGCCCTACGGACGCGGCAAGACCCAGGGTATTGGCTCGGACCATGGCTCCCCCAAATATCTATCATATCATTATACCACGCAAAAGCCACAACGAAGTGATCGACTAGTTAGAAGCCGACCGTAATCTTGCCAGTGGTTCGGCTCCTCAGAGAACGCGCACCTTCACATTGGAATCTTACCATTCACGGGTACAGGTGGTTGGCAACTTTCTCATGGCATTTCCGAGATCGGCAGCACCTGCTCAGGTGGAGGGGTGGCGACCATGTGATGTTACGGAGGGGAAATGATAAGCGCCTCCTTCAAGGACGGGGAAGTTCAAATACATTCGTGACAGATGAGCCATAGGTGACTCCGAACCTCGAAGTTGCAGTTTGACCGGGTTGATCTCGTCGATACTGCCTGTCGGATTTTGGACAAACGAGAACGTGGCGGTCATCAAGCACGGCTTCAGCGGCGATTCGCTCTATTTGCACAATGGAGCCTCCTCGAGAAAACAGACGAGTATTGCGGCTGTTCTGTGCCCATCCCTGCAAAATCGGTAAGTTTCTTACTCATCGCCCCGTAGTCGCGATTCTCCACTTATCTCACGGTGGCAGTGCGGATGCTAGTTGAGCTCAATCGTACATTTGACCCTAGATACTGTATCGAGGTTGCTGACAGGGGGACCATAGCTACGTAACACAATTTCCATTCCATTTTGAAACGGTCCTCTCTATCGACCACCATCTTCCCGACCGCTGTACCGACTGTGATCGAAGGCTTGTTATTGCATTCGGCATGCTGTTCTCGGTCGACAGCTGAGGCAGGGTTCAGATGGAGTGTAAATAGGTCGCCTAGTGCCTTTGAGGTTCGGTGGCCACTATCACGGAGCCACATCCACCAATTCAGTGATCGTAAGAGGCCTTCGGCGCTATGGTCATCAATTTGGCAAGCAAAGCGTGGAAGTCTCCTGGGGGGCTTCTCCGTTGGATGCTGTACGTCGATAGGTCGTTTTACGCTACGATGTCCTTTGGTTTCGAGTCTCGACGCGCCTTGAAATGGTAAGAGGCGAAGTTGCGATCGTAGCGTGTTCGCTCCTCAGAGTAGGGAACGGGCCAATGGCCGGCCGCGGATTGTGATCAATGAGGGCCTTGGACCGCATGAATCCCTCGAGGTCTTCCAGTTCTGTCATGAAAATAGCATCGTTATGTGTCGACCTCCGTCTTATACCTCTCACGAGCCCCAACGATGCGATATCAGCGTCTTCGGGTCTCTGAAGACGGCATATCGTGAACGGGAACGACGAAAAGGAGGTCAGAGCGTCAGGCTCGACTACCGTTGGGCAAGGTCATATCATGAGTTGTAAAGATATCTTACAATTGCAGAAGTATTGTACAGGCGTTTTCAATTGCGGCTTCGTATTGTAGACACACCCCAAATTATTGGAGACTACTTTTTAGCTCTATAACAGCCTAAGCTAGCTATATAGAGATAAGCGTATGTTGTCTTTGCGACCAATCGATAGAAAGTAGTTTTCGCCCTTCTTCGTAACTTACGGTATGGGAAAATTCGTCTTGTATTAAAGAGGTTAGTGGGGTTAGCTATTTAGCGCAGCAGTAATTAATGCCTAACTTGTCCGTCCCGAAACCTTGATTTTTGCGTGGCTACAATTGCATCTCCTCAATAGTTTCATTCGATCTACGAGCTACTGGACCTCCCTCGTGGATGGGGGCTTCATTGGCAATAACTTTCTCCAATAGGATAGCTAAGGTTTAATTCTATGCGAGCTTCTATGTGAGCAGGCGGCGATCTGAGGCAAAAAAGCCTAAATCGCCGTCCACATATAAAATTGTCGTGATCCCACGAAAAATTTAGGACCTCGGCAGTCAACTGATGAAAATCTGCCTGCGCCCTGGCCCCTATTCCGCCTTCTTACTTAGTAATTGCTTCTTTCTTTGCATCATTACAGATACCCATACTTTAAGTCCTACTACATGCGTCGACTTACGCGTTGTCAAGCTATTGAATCACGGTGGTATGGTGAATCTGACGTTGTTTTCTATGAAGCTCAGCCGCCACATCCGCTAGATCGCAATCAGCTTATCTATGAGCTTTTCGAGGCCTGTACCAACTCACCAACTCACCAACTCACCAACTCACCAATGACTCCGTTAGTCGTACGTGTCGCTCTCCTTCGATGTACGAAACCTATCTTCTCCTGCTCATTAGTGGATGAGCATATCGTTCCTTCTGCAAACCACAAGCATAATCCTAGCGACGAGCGACGACCATCGCGATAAAGAAGAGCTTCCACAATGAAACTCCCTCTTCTCGCTCACAAAACAGTGTCGAAGGCAAGGATTGTACACATCTCCAAGAGCTGGCAGGTGGTGCTTAAAAGTTTGAATGATGGTCTTGAAACAATGACGTTACAATTGACCTGGCTTCTTCCCTCAACTCGAAACCCTCAGACGATCTCGAATTGAATTTGCGAAGAAAGGAGGGGATCACTAGTGTGCGTATTAATATTGCATTCAATGAGCCATACAGCGCCCTTGCGCTCGTCGGGGGATTCAACAGAGGCGCCAGGGTGACCTTCGTGTCACCTTTCAGCAATGCAAGCTAAGGACAAGAAACAAAACAGCACAGAACAAGAGAAATCGAATGGAACATTCCGCAGCCTCTGAAAATTACACAGAAGCATGGAGACACTATTTGAGGACGAACTGGATGAGTTGGGTTGAAGAGGTGGATGACGGCGGAGAAGCCAATGGAATCGCAACGGTGGTCGACTGCGGTCGACTGCGGTCGACTACGCCAAACTGTCCACAACCGGACAATCCACACCATTTGGTTCAACCTTCAGAGCACGTAGCGCAAATCGCTGGTACGATTTGATGCCATGGGCTCGTCCAATCCTTTCGGTGATCTGTTTTCTTCAGATGAATTTGACTCCCAAGGCTTCTTGTATGCGCCGACCCCCCAGGGACCCGGTCAAGCGAACTCCGTCTCTCCCTTCTCCGATCATCACGCGTCCCCCTACACCGATCATCATGAAACGCTGAGAACATCCACTCCCAGTTTCCGACCTCGACCACGAGCGGAGAAACTGACTCTACTTCAGTTGTCGGAATGGGATCGAAATAAAACATACGATGATGACCCTCCTATTTGCCTTCGACTTACGATTGGGTGGAAAGCGACTCTGAATGACAAACCTTTCAGCCGAGACACTGAGCAGGACGTCGTATTGACACTCGCTTCGTACTGGGAGCTATTCTTACACTCGAAGGTAGAGGATGCTGCGGCTAAGAAGCGTGCTCAGAGGAAGGCCATGATATTGCAAGGGACAGAGGTCACGGTCTCAGTCAAACAACGGGGAGAGCGTCCCCTAATTAAGCAATACAATGAGACCAACATTGGCTGGGCCGACATTGAGAAACAACTCATCAAGTGGGGCGAACTCTTCCCGGGCAAGGAACTGCGAGTGGATCTGTCTGTCAATTACAAGGACTATGAGGAAGCAGGCCGACACTCCGCGGCAGGTTCATCGAAGAAGGTGGATAAGAGATCTGCACGATCTGCCACACAACGAATGCGGGCTGAACTCGATGCGGAGCTCGACGAAGATGAGGCATCGGGTAAGCTTGCCACTGGGCTGGGAGTATATCACCTTTTCCGATGTCTTTTAGACTCATGTAATGCGCCCAACTACTGTTGGCCGGATCCTGACGCCGGAGTCCACCGAAAGCTGAATACTCCTCTACTCAAAAAACTTGTTAAATACGCCGAAGGCAACCCTCTGAACACTCCGAATGACGTCCCCAAGGGTCTTCGAGACGAGATCCGCTTAGAAGATCAGCAAAGACATGATCGCAAGAGAAAAGCAAGAGCAGTATCTCCTCAAGGTTATCCTCCTGTCAATATCACTAATTACATGCCTGGTCATTCTGAGCTGGCATCGCTACAGCCTCCACAAGCAAAGACTGAAACCGCAAAAGCAACTCCGAGGACGGTGAGTGCTCTTGACATTCCAGGCTATCGCGATGATGCAGTCAAGGATTACGTTCGCTATCTGCAAGGCAAAGTACGTAGTAAGCGGCATCAAGCCGAACTCGAAAAGGCCGGCAATATCGTGTTGGACGACTTCCTTGATCTGGACCAAGTCTACCACGACCACAAGCCTGAATTTTTTACCGCACGAGACGTAAAACTAGCCCCGGCCATCCAATTCATCAGGGATATTCCCGCTTTCGTCAAACACCGGCAAGCGAATGACAGCTGAGTATGGGACTTTTGAAAAGAATGACTGAACTTATGGGATGGTGTTAAAATGTTCCAGTATTGTACATGTGTTATTGTAGTTAGGAACCTTCTAGATCTAGATTTCGTGGCTTGCAGCATATTTATGATTGGTGAAAATCAATGCCAGCATTTCTAAAGTGCCCTCTAGCACTTACACTATCTCTTCCGACTTCATCGATGCATGCTTCGAGGAATGCTGCGAAATCTACCTCTGGGTCCATGGATCTCATCTTCCTCCTGATATACGCTTTTAACTGGGCAAAGAACTCTTCAATGGGATTCAAGTCAGGAGAGTATGGGGGCAAATATATCAGCTGAACTCCTGCATTAGCACATAACTGCTTGACCTTCTCTGTGCGATGGAAGGATGCATTATCCATAATGAACACCGACCCCTCGTCGCAATGCTGGAGGAGCTGGTGAATAAAGTCTTCAAAGATCTCGCTATTTGTCGTATCCTTAAATACTCTTGCGAGAAGAATGCCATTTGGCGTAAGTGCAGGTAGGATTTGCCATCGTTGCCCGCGATGAAATCGGGTAACCTGGACGGGTGTTATACCACGGGGCGACCATGCTGTACGTCTGAACCCAACTCGTTTATCACAGCCGGATTCGTCAATGAATACCAGCTTCTCTGGGTCCAGAAAGGATAGCTTATATTGATAGGCGTCTCTTAAATCCTGACATTGTTCACCTGCTCTTCGCCGTGGGATTTTCTTGGACCAGCCACTTGACTTCAAAGTCCTACTGATAGTAGGGAGCGAAACCAGACACTCGTACTCAACTAAGAAGAAATTCGCTATCTCGTCGAGGTATAGATCTTGCTGCTCATCGAGAAGTTCAAGGAGTGCCTCCAGCATAGAAGGAGTAATAGATCGTCGACGTCCGCCACGATTGCGGGGTGCAGTAGTCGTGCCAAAACGACGATAATTAGCGCGGTGCGTCTGGACGGTTCGGGTAGTGCACGGAATACTTTCGGCAATTTGCCAGGTTTTGAGTCGCCCAACTGCAATCATAGCCTGGCTGAGAGCGTGCTGTGAGGGCGCAATATTTGGCGCCATGAGGCCATGTGGTTCTGTTCCTGCGTCCGCTTACGTCTACGGAAATGTAGCGACATCTTTGCTGGTGGAGGTCGAAAGGACAAAACAATTCTAGATCATTCTGTGGGTCACTTCGCGGGGGCCAGCTACTTTGAAGACTAAGGCACGTGATCGTGCCAAGACTGGGCGTTGCACGTGTTCTATCACATGATTTGAGAGTCTGCCCCTCAATCGCGCTGTCGTGTCCTTTTGGTCTCTTCGACCTGTATCCCAAACCATCAATGGCGACACCCCTTCATAGACACCAATCATCCTTGCAGGGTTTCCTAGATTTCTCGTCTTCTACTGTTCTAACGCCTGATCAATGTAGTCAGGCAACCACGATCTTCAACCAACTCGTCTCTCGATACGAACCTTTCCAAGCTGAGCGTACAGCATATAAATATGTTACCCTACTCCGAACCGTCCATGAATCGGTTGTTTCCAAAGACAACTTCCTTAACCACTTCTTCTTATTCATTGATGCAGACCTTCGACGTGGACAGGACGCCCCTACGCCAACTTTTTTTGAAGTCTTGTCTCGATTCGACAGTCTGCATTCTTGGAGCCGTGAACAATCGGATGAGCTCCAGGGAACCCTAATCAACTTTTCAGACTACCTTGTGAACAACTTCTTCCTGCCACGTATTAGATACACCTTTTTCTGTTCATACGTCTCCAAATGCTAACATTGATATAGTCAAAGCATCTGGCCGGAAGACACCTCAACCTACCCCTACCGCTCTCAGTCTAACCCAAACCCCCGACAATGTTGTTGGGACCACACAACGACTTGCACATCTGCGACAGCAATGTCTTACTCGCGATCGCTATCGATGTGTAATATCCCGAAAGTTCGATCTCAATGAAGCGAAGGCACGCTGGAAAAGAGACGGTGCTGATTCGAAGGATGATGATGGACTTCTGCTGAAGAATGAAAAACCTGAATATTTGGAAGTAGCACATATACTTCCTCACTCTCTCACGTCACTCTCAGGCGATGTTGGGGATTTACAATTGGTACGTGCCTCACACTGTTATGTGTTTATTTTGATTAACGAAATGGTTAGAGCGAATCCAAAAGAATTGCTCTTCAAATATTGAAGATGTTCGATCCTGATGCTAGCCCCCTCATTGAGGGACCCGATATTGATAGATCGATCAATGCCATCGTGTTGACGCATCATTGGCATCAAGAAATGGGGGATTTTGCGGTATCCTTTCAACCTACGATCGATCGGTCTCCACACTCCTACAAGATCGATTACATTGACCCTAATCGACCTTTCCGTGATCCTTTACTCCCTGTTATTCGCCAACTTTATACCACTCCAACGAAGACCATCGATCCACCTGCTCCCCGTCTTCTGGCTATTCATCATGCTATTGCGCGTATTCTCTGTCTTAGCGGCGCAGGAGAATACATCAATCACATCATTCAAGAGATGGAAGAAGTAAGCATAAAGGAAAACGGATCTACCGCCCTTGGATATTACGTCCGCTTGAAGATGGATGGTTGGCTGGACGGAATTCCAGTCTGTTGAATCATTGGAATGAAATCAGACTCTCTCTCCAATCTTTCCCGTGTACTGTATCATTCAAAGTATATGTTCTCAGTTATCTGGTTCAGAAACAGGAGTAGGTGGCGACTGTTTTGACTTGAATGGCGTTGCATTTTATTACTTGTACCAACATATTAAAAACCCTCGAGTACCACTGGTTTCCATTTCTTTTTACGCTGCGTTTTCGCAGCTTTGAGCCGTGAAACTCCTTCGCTCGTTTCATCACGAGTGACCATAGACGTGTTCACAATCATATTTTCTCCTTTATTCTCCCTGAATCTTATCCATACCTTTCCTGCTTGATCGTGCGCTTGATCAAAGCTGCCATCGATCAGCCTCGGAAATGGCTCCCGTGACTCTGGTTCAGAAATTAATGTGTCCCTCTGGCCAGCTCTTGGTGATAACCTGGTCTTGAGGTTTTGGACACCAACAACCGACCACGGGCCGTTTTTAGGCTCCGGCTTAGAGTCCGTGACCATTGGGGAACTCACTAGCTGCGGAAACGCGAGATTCGTGGAAGTGAAGGAGGACAGACGGATTGTGTTAGTATCGTATTCGATGTCCGACCTAATACTTGTGAGCCGATGACCTCATGACAGATAATCTGGAACATACCTGGACGTCGAAGCTCGAACCCCGTGACTGTTTGGTTCGTCATCGAGACCACCATAGCTGCATTCATATCGTCTTCGTCTAACAGTATTGCAAGCTATGAACCAGTTTGCGGCTGCGGGATCTTCTCCTAGAACCACGAGGAGTCTCATGGTCTCGACAGCAGTGTCATTTTTGGCGTCGGAGGTTCGCCGCCAACATCCATCGCACAGAGCTCTCTTGGAAAGATCTAAGGGCGTCTTGCCCTCCTTATCCTTGACGTTGACATCGATGCCAATTTCGACAAAGTATCTGATCATACCAGCCAGCCAGAACCTAGCAGCAAGATGTAGAGAAGTTTGGTTCTGTGAGTCGTCAACGACGAAATGCGACAGGTTTTCTGTCCTCCAGGAGAACTCTTGAATCAACTCCTCGTCTCTTGAAACCAGAGCCCAGTAGTGAGGCGCTCGGCCTTTGTCGTCTCTTTGATTAAGATCGGCTCCCATCTCGAAGAGTAACTTCACCATGGGAAGATTGCGCATCGCAGCAGCAAGGTGGAGGAGCGTCGGCCGAAAGTATTTAGGGTTTCGACTATCAATCTGGCGATTGACGTCCGCACCGAGTTCAATCAACTTGCGAGTAAGACGTGCATGCCCTTTTATAACTGCCCAGGTAAGGGCCGTACCCTTTTGATGTCGTACATTGTAGCGGAGTAGACGCTCGTAAAAATTGAAATGAAGCCGCTGGTTCACTCGGATAAGTGAGTATATGTCTGTCTGTTTGAGGTATTGGATGATCTCTCCGACGATCTCGTTCGGTACATCCAGGAATGTCATGGCAAATTCAATTGATATGAGGAGCGCAGCGGTGGATTGTGCTACGGAAGTGGAACGTGCCGTTCGAGAAACCATGGCATCTATTACCCCGCAATCGGTGGCGACAATGGACTCTACTTGCCCCCAAATCAAGAACTTGAAAGCGGCACCAGGCAACGACGCAAGTCCTTCGATGAAAGGGAACAACGCGAGCAGTTTGCGCAGTGCAGGTGCGCCGAAGCGACAGATGGGAAGGTTTCCCGATCACGTGAAATCTACCCTGACAGCTAGAGACACGCAGTAAATAAATCTTGGCGAGTTTTAGAGTTTGTAGTCATGATGGTGATGACCATTCGCTCTGCATCATCCAGAGCGGGTCGGCAGGGCTGTTGTCACCTGAAGCCAGCCAAGTTTCACACATTTTGTTACAGTACCGGGCGGGGACACATATCCTAGGACTTCGCTCCTAGTCAGCACCCCACGACTTTCCCGCTCTCAGGAGTAGTGCCCCAACCTGCCGACTGTGACAGGACATTAATCCTGGGCGCTGTGAATGGCCTGGAATCACAGCCTGGGGTCAACCTGAGAATGTAGGCTCCGACTTTTCTCCACAGATCTTTTTGCAAAATCGGCTTCCAACCCATCGGCGATCGAGAATCGAGAGTAAGTTAATACCGAGTCTGACTCGCACCGCCCTTGCCACAGGTAAGACAGCGTAATTGCAATGGTTCAACGCCTTGGTTTGGGCCGCACGTGGAACAGCTGCCCTGCAATGGATTCCTAGCGAAGTTATCCAGAACATCCAGTGGAAACTCCGGTATTTCCATACAGGTCTGTCGCCACCTCGCGCATGCATTGGCATCACCGAGCAAGCTTCGTAGCCGGTGTCTCATGCAGTTGGCTGCTACTTCGCGGAGACCTTTATCCGATTCTGGAATCAGATTGTAGATAAAAGGGATGGAAGCGAGAAAATCGTAGGTATTCCAAGCCTTAGAAGCCAGGCTCCTAAACCGTGACTTTGCTGTTTGATCAAGATCCGCCACGCCGTACTTCACTGCTACTGCGTACATTTTGGCGTGAAGCGTGAATTCCGATTCGACGTGCTCTTCTGTCGTCGTCATTGTCTTCTCGCTTGTAGACTGACCAATTTCGGGTTCCAAGCCTTTGTATTTTCCTGTGTACAAGAATTCGACCAATCTCGATATCACGATTGACTCGTCATCTGGTAACGTAATGGTGTCTTCGATATGTTCCTGCAGTAAACCTTTAGATGGGAATTTTCCATTGTAGATATTATGTAGTTACACGGCAAGGGTGATCGCAGGCAGCTCTGAAGAATCGAGACTGAGAGCACACAACGACCTTATGAACATGAAAGTCCACGCCGGCGCACTTCACAAGTAAATCGGTGTAGGTGTTATTTTCGAATGCGCTAGCGGGTGGTATTTTAGCGAGTTGTTCACTCAGAATTCTAACACTTACTTCCACAGAGTTTTGGCGATGTGTGCCATGCTGAGGTATTCAAATGGTGAAAAGTTTTTTGAGGGAGTCACCACCGTCGAGCATCGAGATTTTGCGGCAGAGAACGGACTGCGGCAGAGGCCGCTTTTAGACTAATGCTGCCACAGTGATCGGCACCCGTACTGTTCTCTAAACTGTTGCATGTGATCTGAGAATGCTTCCTGCCGATTGGTTCTCCGAAGAAATGATGTTTAACTTTTTGTAGCCTAGTACTCGGTCAGGATGGGGTTAAAAATTTGGCAAGTCGCATGCCCCCCCCCCCCCCCCAAGCGGGGACCGGCAAAGAGGACTGAGCAGGACGACGCAGCGACATGCTTAAGCACACCGGCATATTGCAAGCGAATCT